GAACTCCCTGAAGCTTGTCAAAGCTAAAACCTCAAGCCAGAGTTATGTCATGGGAAGGCCCGGCGCAAGCAATAGTTCGGCATGTTCTTTGGGAAACATGCTGCGTAAGTCTGCGCGCAAGCTCTGCTTTGTGACCGTGTGCCACAGTGGTTGAATGCACGGAGCTTCAGGCAGAGCAGGTGTTGAAATCCTTGCGAAGGTAAAAAGGGCAATGGGACAGCAGATTCAGCAAAACTACGGGGGTTCGGGAACGTAAGCAGGCGCAAGCAGGCCTAAGCAGGCGCGTAAGGTTCACGTGAGCTCGCCTAGCACAGCTGCCCGTTTGCCCACGCCTTGAACGCTGCATGAGCTGTTCCTTGACCTGCAGTGGAGTCAATATGGCTGGTAAATGGAACCCATGACTAAACCAGGCGGTCCCCTGGTGGTTTAATTTTGACCCACACCCATATGAAAGACAAGCTGTCGACCAAATCCAAAGCGCTGAGCAAGCAGGCTACACAGTGAAGACGCTACAAAGAGCAACACTGCCACGTTGGCCCGCCTGATAGAAATTCTTCATCGATTGCTCCTCAGAGTCATCCATGTCATCTTGAACAGTTCTGTCGGCTGCATAGAACAAGGAGCCCTCGCAAGCAGTTCTTGTGGGAAAACACTCAAAAAAAGCTCACGCAAAGGAGAAGCATAATCTTGTCATGCTTGATGACTGCCACGCAAGCCAACACATGGGTTGCGCAAGTGTCGCAGCGCTGTTGCGAGGGCCAGTCCATGCAAGAATCGAACTTCACACATCTTGGTTACATGGGATATTGGAAGCCAAACATGAAGCCACCAATGTTTGTTATTTGCGGAATTTGAACTGCTGACGAAACTAGGAGTTCGCAATTTGAAGAGGCGTTGCTTTGCAAGTCGCTTTCCTTGAGCATTTGCGCAAGGTTGCTGCCTTGATAAACCAGGTGCACTAAGAGGTGAGATTAGAGTGAACCGGCCTTCAATCCAACAGCTCAGCTGCAAGTCACCCTTGGCCTTGGCGACGCTTCAGAAACTACGTCTCAGCCACTATCTCGGTTACAACAAAACCAACGGATGTAGACCCTATCCCCACTTCAGAATGCCCGCTTACTTTCAGAACGGTTTCGTGGCCTGGTTTTAGCATTGATTCGGAAACTATCCCTCTTCAACATCAGAAGCTATCCTGCTTCTGAAAACGGTTTTTCGGAAACTATCCCTAGCTGTTCAGGCACCTTCTCCTCGCTTCAGTGACTACGTTTCTGGGATCCCTGCTGAAGCACGCCAACGCAAGAGCGCACCCGCCCTACACCCGCCGCAGTATTTGCCAGCAAGATATTTTGAGTCATATTTCCAAGGTACAACCAAATCGTGAAGCCTGCGCAACATAAATCTGGCGTCGCGCTCGCATCCGCCCGTTGCAAGAAGTCTTCTCTGCCAAAAGGAGCTTCAAACTTTGTGCCGATGATCTCGGGTTTTTGCGCAGTGCGATGTTTCGCGTGACACCTAAGCATGACGCTGCGCTCTTCGCAACCTGCCGCAAGATTCGGGTTGCAACAATTCAACCTATTCGTCTCGGTTGGGCAATGGCAAGTCCATTGCTTTCACTGGTGCCCAACACTAAACATGACGTCTCAACAGCGGCTTAAGCTGGCCACCGCCTTTGCTAGATCACCTGCCACCCAAGCATGAGCTTTCACAACCCCAACAGAAATTCTGACAAACAATCCGGCACAGTTGCAGAGCTTCAAACTCCGTCGTGTCAGGTATCGCCCTGAATGGCATGGAGCGCCGACTGAGAGCAGAAGTCTACAGTAGCGACCAGGAGGGCCGGCCAGTCCGAAGCCGAGAGGATGTCTCTCTGCATATCCAAGCGCCATTGAGGGGCTCAAGGAATATTGAACACATGACATCCAGGAAGATAGCAGATTGAAAAAGGGCTTGCGCACCCTCGTGCAAGACTCGGGCGAAGGTGCGGTCCCTGGCACACTTCCTTGCGTCCATGGGCCAGGTGGAGGCCGAAAGTCTCGGAATTTGTCACAAGTCCCTGGCCCAGTTTTCTCAGTTTGTAGGAAGCCGCAGAGCTTTGGCAGCACGCCTTGAACGAGGACAAGGCGGGCTGTGAGCTGTCAAGAGCGTGGCTCGAAGCCCTTCTTGCATTTGGGTCACCAAGCTCCTGGCCTTGTTTGAGGCCAAACTTGGCAGCATCCATCTGCAGACAGCTGCTGCGGCTTCAGCCCTGGCTGCTTGTTTGGATGCCCGGATCTCAGTGCCTTGAACCAGAAAAAGTGGATGCAGCTGGATTGCCGAGGACCTAGGGCGTTCCCAAGAAGCAGAAGGCTTCCACTGCGCGGCAAAAGTGGCGCTGGCAGCGGGCTCAACCTTTCAAGCGGAAGACTTGCTGTCAGAAGAGCCGTTCCTGGCGGATGTTAACCATGGCAAGCACTAAAGACGAGAAGCCAAGCGAAACGGTCAATGATTCCACTTGCAAATCTGCATTTGCAGACACCGGATTGTCAAGTCTTCAAGGTTTAGTCTTTGATAACCATAGGATTCCTCTGAGAGGGCAATCTCCGCATACAGGGAGTCTTACACAAGCCCAGACAAAGAAGTGCAGGCCTTTCATTGGGCATCTGATGAATCTGGTGTTTCAGACTCCCCTGGTTTCCCGGAAGCACTCAATTGGAGGAAGCGAGCTTGGCTCTGAGGAGATGGGCCTGGGTCGGGCCAGTGCGGAAGCCACAGCCTGCGAGCTTGCCTTGACGGCTTGCCGCCATGTGCAAGGACATGTGCCACCATGGGTTCCCGCCAAATTTCCAGCCCATGGTTCTGGTGGGCGGGACAAAGACTCACCCAATCTCCCATGTCCAGTAGGGTAGCAGCAAAACTTGCTCGACATCACTGTGAGGACATGGAAGATTGCATGGCATACTTCCGTCGCACGCTCAACCCGGGGTACTTAGTCTTCAGGCCGGACCGCACGCATGTCAAAGTCAGCTGAACGGGGAAATAACAAAAACAGGGCTTACCGGCTTACCCGAGATTCATGAAGATGGTCAACCATGACAGTTGGGGGAGAGATGGCGCAACCTGTCCATTTTGCCATCTGCGCATTTTCCCATTCCTCTGGACATAGCGCCAGATCGCTCTAGGCTGGGGAGGCGCAGGCAGTGGCGATGCTCTTCAGTAAGGCGGTGAGTCCTTGCCTCAGTCTGGAGGTTTGGAGCTTTGGAGCTCTCCGTCGTGCGAAGGGGCAAGTTTTTTTTTCTTCCCCCAGGTTCTAACTTCTAGAGGGGAAAGTGATTTGCGAGATTGATGGGCTGGTGCTAGGGGCCGTGCGGTTTGGGGTGCTGGTGTAGGTGCTGATTGGGGTGCTATTTGAGGCGCTGATGGCAGTGTGTGTGCATCTTTTCAAGATTGACGGTAGGGTGCTAGGGGGCATGCAGTTAGGGGTGCTTGTGCAGGTGCTGTTTTGGGGTGCGCGCGCGCATTTTTGCATCTTCACGGTAGGCCGCAGGGGGGAATGCAGTTTGGGGTGCTGCTGCTGATGGTGCTGTGGGACGCAGTTTGTGGGGAGCTGTTTGAGTTGCTGGTGACGGTGCGGGCTTTTTTTTTTTGCGATATTGACGCCCGGGTGCTATCGGGCATGCAGGTGACGGTGCAGGCGTATGTTTGCATCTTGACGGTAGGGTGCAAGGGGGCACGCAGCTTAGGTGGTGGCTTGGGATTCTGTTTGGGGTGCTGGTTGATTTTCGCAAGATTGTCTTGGCTTCAGGGTGATGGTGCCGGCAAATCTTTTGCTCGATTGACGGCCGGGTTTTGCTTGGGGCGTTGTTCGGGCGGGTGCTTTTGGAGGTGCTGGTGGCTATTTGGGGTCTATGCTTTTTTTTTCCCATTTTTTTCCGGTCGGACCCACGAACACTGTGGTTTTCCTATTGGTTTCCCTTGAAAACCACCGAACAAGGGTACCCTCAAGTTCGCATCTGAAGGAGTTGATACCAATGTAGTGTCACCAAATGGAAAGGGTGCCTTCTAGTAGAATCGTATGGCTGGTTTGCTTTTTGAACCCCTGCCGGGAATTCAAGCATGTTGAACTGCGGAAACGAATTCCTTCGGGGTTTGAGGGGGCTCTCTTGCCAGCCAATCCCACGGCTTTCCACTCGAACTGCAAAGTTACACCAGTCATTGGCACGCATGACACGCAATCTGACTGACCGCTGCTGGGCAACCGAAATCACTGACGATATGCCAGAATAGCTCAGTAACCATGCTGCTTCACTCACAAACCATGCTGAAGGTGCAGATGAAGCCAGTGATTCGGAGTCTTTCTACAGACAGGCATGTTTGAGTGTTCACTTCAAATTTGTCCCTCGTGCTGATTCAACCGGCAGGTTCTGTGTGTACTGCGTCGAAGCTTAGGGCCAGAAGCCCAGTGCGACTTTGGAGTCGTGTTTGTCAGGGTTCCGTTTTGGTATTTCCCCCAAGACTTGACCCAGGGATCTCGCTTGGGAGATCACGGGTTCAAGTCTACCTTAGGGCCCATATGGATTGCGTGTTCTGGTTGCCGGACCTCTAGGTCCTACCATCCTGACACACTGCACTGCCTGAACAACCTCGCGCTTTGCTTGGGAGTGCTGCCCTTGGCTGAAACAGCTAGCCAAGGTAGCGGAATGGTGAATCTTGACATCAGATTGCTGGAGCACATGAAATGAGCCAGCTGGGCGAGTGCAACATATTACATATATGTTCCAGGTTGGGTGGTTGGGGTGTGGTTCGGAGTTGGTTTAGGCTTGGTGGGTTGGTTTAGGGTTGGTTCAGGGTTGGTTTGCGGTGGGTTTCGGGTGGGTTTGGGGTTTGGGTTGATTTAGGCTTAGGGTTGGGGTTAAGGAGGGGTTGCAGGGTGGCTTGGTTTAGGGTAGAATGTTGCGAGGTGTTGGCTCACGGGGTGAAAGGGGGAGTCTGGGACCGAAGCTGCAGGGCTCACACGGTACTGGACAGCATCCCCAGCATTGCCAGCTTCATCCCCAAGATGCAGATGATGCGGGGGAGTGGGGGGACCATACCATTGGGGGGGGCGGGGGGGCGGGTACGTGGCCCAGGGACTGGTACATATATGTATACTTACCTACTTACTTGCCTGCCTGCCTGTTTGCCTGCCTACATACATGCATGCATGCATGCATACATGCAGACACACATACACACACACACACACGTACATACGTTGCATTCCGTTACGTTACATTACATTACATACATTTACATGCATGGCATACATTACGTACATGACATACATTGCATACACTACATACATTGCATGCATTACATACATTGCAATCATTGCATACATTACATACATTGCACACATTACATACATTACGTACGTTACGTGCATTGCGTACATTACATGCATGCATGCATGCATTCATGCATTGCGTACATTACATGCATGCATGCATGCGTGCATGCATGCATGCATGCACACATATATACACATATGCATATACACATATACATGTATACACATGTACATATATACATATATACGTACATACTACATATAGGCATGTATACGTATACGTATTTTACATATATACGTATACATATACACATATACACATGCACAAATATACATGTATGCATATATATATATACATGTACATATATACATATATACATATATACATATTTACATAGATACATACATACATATATGTTTACATACACACACATCCACACACATACACACATACATACATACATACATACATACATACATACACTACATAGCTACCTACCTACCTACATACATACATACATTCATTCATACATACACTACATACCTACCTACCTACCTACTTCCCTACCTACCTACCTACCTACCTACCGACCTACCTACATACATACACACATACAAAGAAACATACAACCAAAGAAACAACCAAACAAGCAAGCAAAGCAACAAGCAACTAAACACACATACATGCATGCATGCATGATACACACACATACATACCTACCTACCTAACTACCTACATACATACACACATAGGTGCCTCCATTCATGCCTGCGTGCATGCAGTGGGGCAAAAGCATGACCACTTGGCCAAAGCATGGCCCCTTTTGGTACACAAGTAGCAGAGCTAGTGCAGCCATACTTGCCTGGTGCTCTGGCGCCGAGCTGCGTTCGGTTCAGAGTGTGCCGCCGTGGTACCACCCATGCGTTGGGAGCCGACAAGGTGTGGTTTAGCTTTGGGGTTCTAGGTGTTAGGGCCTAGGTTTAGGTTTTGGGCTTGAGTCTGGGATTTGGGTTTTAGGTTCAGAGTTTAGTTTGCAGTCTGGTCAAGGCTTAGGGTTCAAGCTTAGAGGTCGGGTTCAGGGTTTAGGTTTAGGTATCCGGTTTGGGTGTAGGGCTCACGCTTAAGTGTGTGGCGCTTGTCTGAGGACCAGGGCAAACTTCAGCAAGCTGAGCTGCTTTTGCGCCTTCCCCTCAACTGCTGATGGCGTTTGTTTGTATGTTTTTGTTTTTTCTTTGATTTGCAGGTACCCATTTCACCTTGTTTTAATGGGCAACGAAACGGAACACGTTTTTTTTTAGGGGGCCAAATTCCTAAAATGACACGCCCGGAGCGTACGAGGTCGAACCCTGGCTGGAATGGAGGTGGTGCTGCCCTCCTCGTGGCTCTTCTGAGAACAAATTTCGGTGCTCGTGATGGCCCATTTCCCACGTGCCACACGCTATTTTGGGCAGTCTTGGGATTTGCTTTTTTGCATTTTGGCATTTTTGTTTTGACAATTATTCTGGACTACTCTTGGCTGTGATGGATGCCACCCATTTTGCACTTCAAGATGCGAGGCACCCTCGCCCAATTCAAGCGCTGAGCAATCTGGCCTGCTGCGCAGTCCTCAGCAATGTAAATCCAAAGACCTGCACTGTACCTACTTCAGGGATGGCGGAAATTCCTATGATTGTTGCAGTGAAATCATGACATTTGCAGCATCCAAGAAAACCACTTATTTCATCACTAGGTCTAGCAGAGCAGGGCAAGCTGGAGGAGGCGCCTTGTTGCATCTCTTTCGTCGGTGTGGACGCTGGTTGCAGTGATGGCTGGCTTTGGGTTTTTGTTTGGTAGACCTGGGATGGTTAAACGGTTAATGGGTTCCAAGACAGGCTCAACCGGATCCGGCGCTCCCGCAGGCAGAGAGCCATCATCGGCGAGCCTTTGACACTTGCAAACGCAAGCTGGGCTTGGCGCTCAAGCAGAGCTTGGCCTTTGTGCCCAAACTCCTTTTGCAAAACACGTCAGCGAGGGTTTCGCCATCTGTTTCAAATAAAATCATGATTGGTGTAATTCTGAACACTGCGCGCGAACACACACGCGCGTGGCTTGTAGGCTGGAAGCATCCGGAGACGTCATCTTGTGCTCACAGCAGCGGCCTCTACTCAGATCAGAGCCCTGGCTGCGCTGAGCCCTGGCCAGGTCTCAGCGATTTCCTCAAGTCCTGTGGCCGCTCAACGGAGGCACGGGGCCTTGCGGCATGGTTGTGGCAATAGGGAGTTGGAGCCTCCAGCAATGGGTGGACGTTTCTTGTGATACAGCAAACATTGTGCAGCCAGCAAGAAGAACGTTCAAAGAGCGTTCTGGGCACGGCTGCTCCCTAGCTCGGCCCGTTTGTCGGCCTCCGAGCCTTTGCAAGAACAGTCTCTTGCAGCAGTCCGATGTGTCTTCTTTTCTCGTCCTTTATCGTTGCTCAGAGCCGTGAATGATGAGTTTGATTTTCTTGCACAGTGAACAGTGGGATAGCCCACCTTAATATTTTTCCCGCAACCATGTTCTGCAGATAGCTAATTTATATGAGGTGTGACTGGCGTACAATCCGTGCAGGCTGCACTGATCGAGCTTCAAGCCGACCAACTTGGGAGGCTGGAGCTTGGGGAACAAAGTCCAATCGGAAGGCTGATTAAATTCTTCTCATGGGATCATTTCTTAGTTTGGGGATTGAACACACACGCCTTTTGGGGGGAGCTCTTGATTTTGAGACCTGCCCATTTCAGACAAGATGTCGGCACAAAAAGGCCATGCTTGGTATTGGGTTAGAGGAACAGCTGCCCGGCTTCTCGCAGGCAGACGTGGAGGCGGACGAACCGTTTCACTGGATGAGAAGACCTCATCTGGCCGCTTCCGAAGATCCTCATTGTGAGCGATGACATGTGGACAACTTTTTGGGATTGTTTAGCTTTGGAAGCAGCCTTTGTGCATAAGGTGCCTCTGAGCCAAAAAGCTTTGAGACAATGGGTGTCCAGGATACCCGCTTTGTAAACGCTTCTGCTGCCAAAGTTGCAGCTGGACAAAAAGATGATCTCAAAAGCGCGAAGTGTTGTTTAATCCATTTTTTTCGGGGAACGCGCATTCGTCTGACAGAGCTGACGCAGGCTACATGTGGGTGGAGCCCGCACAGCCCTCTTCAACTGGCTTTTTGCCAAGTCACAAGGAGGTGAGATGGTCCTTCGTGTAGAGGCGGGGCCACAGATTCGGTCAGAACTGGTCCATGGCCTTGGGGACATCGGGGAACTCACTAAACTTCCCACCACCGGAGGAGCTCGAATCTTTCCCCATGGACCCGAAGCAGTTTCACCGCGAAGCGATCCATCGCTTGAATCGCTTGAGGACACAGACGTTGCCCGTTCCACCAAAGAGTCGGAGGACGCCATCCTCGAGGACCCGAGGGACGAGTCATTCCAAATTGCCCCGACTAAGACCGGAAAAAATGCTTCTGGAAGACAGGGGTATTGTTTTTGCGGGTGATTTGTTGGAATTGGGTTGTTGGTTCGGATGTGGATTGTTTGTTTTCTTGAGGAGCCAGCTTTCGTTGACCTCAAGCTGTTTTTTGGGTCCACCAACTGGGTAAAATGCTAGGTCGACGAGCAGGCTTGGCTTGGGTTGCCCCGGCAAAAAGCTGCACGTCCAGGGCCTGAAATGGTGCGGCATCACCTGGGACGAGGGCCCCGATGTGGGCGGCAACCATGGGCCCTACCGCCAGTCCGAGCGCATTGAGGCGCGAAAGGGTCTCTGGTGTCAAACGCATACAGTTTCAAAAGCTATGCTCTGAGCCCATTGAGAAACAGATTGAACTATCACCACGAACTGACTGTAACTTGGAGGCCCTTCTCCTTTACTGATTTTCACAGGTTTGGAACTTAACTTAGTCCTTCTCCCTCCTGATTTCGCAAGGCGCCGTTCGCACCGAGTCGCAGGCCGGCATTTACAAGGAGCAGTTGGAGAAGCTCATCGCCGGGGGGCACGCCTACCGATGCTTCCTCTCTCCCGAGGCATGGCCTTTGGAGTTGGATGCGATATCCACTTGGAAATTTTTGGTATGACCATGGATATGAGTGCAAAAAGATAAACGTTGACATGTACGCATGGTTATAAGCTGCTTACTAGTTCCTAAGACATCCTTGACATGTAGGCACGGTGATTTCTTATCACTTGCTATGTGGATTGAGCATCCAAGTGAGTATACGAGCTGCCATCCACTGCTTACGGAAGTGTTGGCCATTCCAAAGCTGTAAATTGAACACTTATGCCTTTGGTCAGCACACAATCACAGAATTTACGTTACAGGCATGTTTGTCATGGGTGTTTCTAGCTGTTGGAAGCAGTATTGAGAGATGGCTGCTGCTAGCCATTCCTGGCATGATCATTCTTAGTGCATCAAGTCATCACTTTCACTCACACGCATGCTCATTGCTCCAAAATAGATGATTTGGTTTCTGTCGGGAATTCCTGAAAACTCATGAGAGAAGGGTAGCGAAGCTAAGCGTCACCCCAGCTTTCGGCTTCACGCAGTCGCCAGGAGCTTGATGAGATGAGAGCTGAAGCGGAAAGGAACGATCAGGCCTTGCCGCTCGCATGGAGCATCACACCAAGCGCTTCATGTACCCTCTCCAGGGCTTGTGTTCTTGTGAGGGAATCGGTTTTCTCGAGAAGCCAAAGGCACACCACCCAGCTTGCGGGTCCAAAGACCGCTCACACCCACTGGGTGTGTCCCTTGGTGGATCTCTTTTTGTTGTCCCCTTCAAAGCCACAAAACCAGTGGTACCCCCAAACGAAGACACACCCAGATCAGTTGGGAGGCCTTTGTGCTTCAAAGCCCCTGGGCCAATGCATCGGAGGAGGAGGTGCAGGCCATGTGTGCAAAAGGGCACTCCCTTATGGGGCTGGTCTAAAGGGGCACCGACATGAAGCCATTCATTTTTCGGGGTTCCTTTTTTTTGTTTTTGAGACAACCCCACTTTGGAAAACCAAGTGAGCACTCAAATGCAAAATCGAGAGCCGCATTGGCCTTAAGATGTGGGCAACTTGTGCAAGGGTAGTGGATATCGTTTGCAGGCAATGATCGACCAGGGCAAGCCCTACGTTTACAGATTCAGGGTGCCATTTGACAGGTGCGGGTGAAACTCCATTGGCGAATGAGCAGCATGCGTAGAAAAGTCCTGTTTGTGATCCGCAGGGAGATCGTTATTGACGACCTGGTTCTTGGAGAGGTTGGGACATGCAGCTGAGAATGTCCCAATGTTTGAAGCGAGCGTCTCTACAGGTGATATGGAATTCCGATGATCTCGGCGGCGACTTTGTGATTGTGCGGCAAAACGGCCGGGTTCAAAGGCTTAGACATAAAGCACTTGCGACCAGCTCACTCCTGAGGGATGCCAATGTACAACTTTGGGGTTGTGGTGGATGATGCCTCTATGCACATCACGCACGTTCTCAGAGCCCAGGCGGGGTGCACATCTGAAATGTTTGTTTCGCGCGGCTCGTCTTCGCGTCGCAGGAGCACCTCATGAACACCCCTCGGCAATTCCTGATGTACGAGGCTTTGGGGCTCAAGGCGCCATCCTGTGATTTTCCAATAGATCAGCCCGAAAAGGCTCCAGAGAGGTGACAGCTGTGCCTGCCGATGCGACCGGAGGTGCCGACCTTTGCGCACATGCCGCTGATTCTAGCTCCGGACCGTGCTGTCGAGAGCCACTTGCATCGAAGAAAGGTCCAGTCGCGGTCTGCCAGGATCGAACAAAGCTGTCGAAAAGACATGGGGCTGTCTCTGTCGGCGAGCCTGAACCCCGGTATGGTCACAATTGCCGGGCGATGAATAGTTTTGGGGAATGTGGAGGCTCTACATGTGGAAGCATATTTTTACGGTGTTTCATGTCTTGTGAGCATTTCACCAGCAGCCTGTGGAAGGTACCAGAAGCGTGGCTACCTACCTTCGGGCATGGCCGAAGCCTGAACTCCCCGTTCCGTATTGCAGTGCGGGTTTCTGCGCGCATCCTTGACATAGCGACATGCCACAAATATGTTCCTTGGCTCGCAAGGTGAATTACTTGGCGCAGTTGGGATGGAACGACGGCACAAAGCAGGCATGCGCGCCAGACGTGGGAATCCAAGAAGCGATCACCATCTCACGAGGAGATCTACACCTTGGAAGAGCTCATGAGCGCCTTCAGAATGAACCGCATGAGCAAGGCCGGTTAGCATCATTCGGTCGAAGTGGTTTTCTGGTTCCCGCTTGGAATGCGACGCCTGTGGCACCGGGCCTTTCATCCCGAGAGAGGAATAGCGGAGCTGAGGTGGCGGCCATCTTCGATGCTGACAAGTTCAAGTGGGTCAACGGACACCATGTGAGAAGACTGACTGACGACGAGGTGGGCATCTTCACAAAAGCCGTGCTGTTTGGGGCCTGGCCCGTCCAAGGCGCTGTCACTGATTGGAAACGAGTTGAAAGATCACGGTCTCGTCAAGGAGGCCAGAGACACATGTTGTTTGCACGGACTTGTGGCGCATGAGCCGAGGTGTCTGGTCCGTTTGTGCAGAAAGCTTCGCAGCTGTGGGCTGCTGAGGGGCTGTGAAGTTTGGGCTGGGTATGCGGCTAACTGCCTTGGCAACAGGCTCTGGTTTACTGGGGAATCGGTTGTCGTCAATTTTGGGGTGAGTTTGGGCGAGTTTCCAACCAAGGCTGCGGGATCGAATCAGCACCCTCACAGAAGCAGTTCAGGCCGACTTTGTAGCTTGTAGCATACGTGTCGAAATAGGGATTCGGACCACAACATGGCGGTTTTACTTTTGGTTTCCTTCTAACCAACCTGAAAAGGGTACCAACTTAAAGCAACGCCCTTGGTTATGGAAATTGTTTGGTTCAGGTTAGCCTCAAAGCAAAGAAGAAAGCCAAACCGCGCGCAGGAGCTGGAGGCTATGCTGCACTTCGACCTGGAGGACTGGTTGGCCGAATCGTTTCTTTTGTTTGCCCCCTTAGTTTACCTTTGGGGTTGGACAAAGTCGGGGTCAGAGAACGATTTATTGGTGGGGTGCAAACTGGCAACCATTGGCAACCATTGGCAACCATTGGCAAGCATTGGCAAGCATTGGCAACCATTGGCAACCATTGGCAACCATTGGCAACCATTGGCAACCATTGGCAACCATTGACAACCA